AACACAAAACAAGTGGGTTCGGTTGACTGAGTAAATACATATGCAGGTTACCCTATAAAGAAAGGGAGCAGCAAAGCAGAATAGTTTGCCAGAATAGTTTTGAATTGAGATCTCTGAAATTATGTTTGTGCTGTGTGTTGACATGCCGAATTCACTAGGATATTATAGGGACTTAAAATTCCCACATTAGAGAGCTATTTCACTTTTTCATGAAAATTTGCTTGCTTTATGTCTAGCTCATGTTATGAACTAATAGCCATCATAATCTTCTACTCAGAAACTTAGGGGTTTTTCAGTTATATACACACAAAAGACATTTTAAATCAAAACTGTCTATCCACATTCCATTTTTATATCTCTGAGGGCCAAAAAAGATTTTCCCTTAATTTTGTTCTGGGAAAAAGTCCTCCCCAGGCTAAGATCTTGTATGTCAAATCTAATCTCAGAGTGAAATGTAAACTGTGGATAATAAGGATTTATATTAATGGAAGCATGGTTATAGCCCTCAGTATAATATGGTATCTCTGGTTTCAATTATATGTTGCACAATGCAATATATCTTCAGAAGCATCTCATGTAATTTATCAGGTAGTGCTGTAATGCAGACTAGAATAAGGAGAAAACCAGGCATTTGTCTTTTTACAGAGATGGAGAGGGATTTTATTAGTCATTTAGTAAAAGCAGACCTTCTTGGTGCCAGCAGATTAGTGCATGCTGGTGTATGGAAATTATTCTTCAGTATGCTATTTTTGTCCCTCAGTGAGCAGAGTTTAAAGTTGCTCTGGAATTACACAGAGAATCTATATACGATTAGTGCAAAGTAAAATTGATTTAAAATAAATTACTACTGCAAGCCTCTTTTCACAGAGTTTCACTTAGATCCTGGCATGAAGGGCAGGGTTTGTTTTTTTCCCCCACAAAATGGATTTTATCAATAAAGATCAAAGAGCTGTAGAAATCAGAGATGGAAAAAATCTTGTCAGGTCATGTCTTCTATCAATGCAAGAACATTTTCTACAGTATATTTCTCTAGTACGTACTCAAACTTCAATGTCAATACTAGAATGAAGGGCTTCCGCTTTTCCCTTAGCAGATTATGAAATAGTTACAAAAACTTTCTTTATTCCTTTTTTAAAAATTTCTCTCTGAATTACAACTTTTCAGGTTTTTCTCATACCAGCTTTGTTTATTGGTTTAGAAACCTTTTAAGGTTTCTGAACTAGTTTCTGTGTTTTCCTCTTCCAGAGCTGATAGTTAAACAAGCTGTATCACTTTTTTATCCTATCCTCTTCATCCAGTGTTATTAACTCTTTAAAAGCACTTTTTGCTGTTCTCCTCCAAAATTTCCTCAGTTTATAGGCATGATTTAGCTTCCGTCAGCATAGAACTGACACTGGAGATGTTCAGAAGGGGCTATTCCCACCCTTGCCTGTTTAAATGGAGATGTGACTTTTTTTTGTAGCATTTGTGGTTGTGCATGGGTTGCAGTTCACTACTTACCTACCTCCTTTTTTTTTTTTTTTTTTCCTCCCAGAGTTATACCAGTCAGCTCCCTGCTGCTGAATAATTGCATTTGTCTTCAGCTGTTTAGGTAGTCCCTTTATTTGCTACCCTTGAGGGCCTCCAGCATTTAGGGCTCTTCAGCTTGGAGAACAGATGACTGAGTAGTGAATAGGGAACTGTTATTCCTATTTCCTATAATATAAAAACCAGAGGCATCAAATGAAATGGCAAAGGGATAAAAAAAAGTAATTTCCCTTGTCATGGGCAAAGGGATAAAAAAAAGTAATTTCCCTTGTCATGTTACGCATCTTTAAATTGTGGAATTCACTACTTCAGCATATTTTGGATGTCATAATTAAGAATAACTATAAAACATGATTAAAACCTGGTCAAATACAAAATAAGAAATGAGGCAAACTGTAGATGCTGTCATTTACAGATATTTTTTATTTATATTCTACTAACGTTAATACTAAAGTGGACCCCAAACTGATCTTTGAAAAAAACACCAACTTCCAGTCTATTTTTTATGTTGGCTAAAATAATTCTCAGTTTTGCAAGTGGGTAAAAGGAACAGCTTCTTGAAAAAAAACATACTGGTATGACCAGTTCAGTTCCCTCACCCTCCCACAGCCCTCCCCGCCTTACTCCACTCAGCTGCTAGTTTTTGTTAATTTAAATTGTAGAATGGGCCAGATAGTTGATTTCTGAAAGCATTTAGGTATGTGTGGAAAACCCCATTTTCCTCAGACAAGAGAGACATAACAAATAAACTTCATATAAGAAAATGTTTATATACATCACAATTAAAGCAATGATTTGCATGGTTTAGGCATATCATACAGAAACTAGGAGAAGAATTGAGTAAAATGACAATTTCCAATTGGGACTGCAGGAAAACTATTCCATCCTTGTAAGATTCCCAATGACTTAATGCTTCTGAATATGTTCCCTCTCTCAAAAAAACCCAACACTGCAGTCATTTCAAGGCAATGATGTAGTAGCCAGGAGGACCTGATCATATACCTCATGGTGTCAGCAACAATACTGCAAATAACTTTCAGTGGTGCAGGATCACCTTCATAACCAACATCCTTTGTTTTTCAGGAACTCACAGAATTTGGCTGCTACTGTTCGGACCTGTGGCAGTTACACACTTTTCATGTCTTAGAATAGGCTCTGACAGCACTTGTACTGCAATTCACTGTATGAAGCCATGGAAAAAAGTGAAGCAAAAGAACAGAACAGATGTTCTTCACTATATAAGTTTAAAATAAGTGTGATAGATTCTTGTTGAGCCCTAGAAAAATACTCACTGATAAAAATCTGTGGTATGACCTGTTCAGTCATAACTGGTGTGATCTAACAGCAAAATTGCAATAGTCGCCTCTTTCTGACAATAGCACAGATAAATATGTTGCAGCCTGTTAAATATGTCTTTTTACCATAACAGTGCTAGAGATGTCTAGTCCAAAACCTAATAATCCAACTACACCAGGAATATTTTCACTGTGATCAAGGAGATCTAAGGCAAAATACAAATGTTCCAGTTTTATAAATCACAATATCTAGAAACTACACATTTCTCCTAAATCTTCCTTGTTTTCACTTAGGGTTCTCAGTCAGACAGTTCAATATCAGGTTTATTACTGAAATGTAGCTTAAAAATGGCTTTTTCAAGCATTTTTCAAAGCTACTCCTGTAAACTTCACCTCGTTATCTGCTGTGCATTTTTTTTGCAACCACTGAGCCTTTACAGTGGTAGATGTGCTCTAATTGCACCTCAAAAATAGATCCTTCCTCATTAGAAATACATACATTTCCTCAGGTGCTAATTTACTGAGGGATGATGAAGGCAGATGTCAAAAGTACACTTGTACCGTGGCTCTCTTACTATGAGTGAGAAGTGAGAACTTAGCTGCTTCGAGAATCTGGGCATTATGCCCTCATATTTTTCTTGCCCCCAAGAACTTTGTTGTTTCCATGTTTTCATTTTTTTTGAAGAATTGTTTAATTTTTTAAAAATAATCTCTTTAAAGTGTGCTACGTTAAATCAAGCCTTGCTGATTAAATATAGCTTCTCCAAAGCTTGGTGGTGGTGGTGGTTGTTTTAATTGTGTTATAGACTGTTCTTTTATACTGTCTCCCAGCTCTTTAGGCATCAGAGTTTATCAACAGTGCTACTGTGATATTCTTCATATTATTGTGGATTGGAGTGTAAAAATTTTAGTACAAAAACAGACAACCTGTCACAAAGTGGTATTATCAAGGGCACAGAGACCATTTTCCACTTTCTGCAACTGGAAGACTTGTAAAATTATTCTTTGAATTGCAAGAAAAAAATACAGCTTACTAAAACCTGTATGTTTGTTAAACCAAACAAAATCAAAGTCTAATGCAGTCAGTAACATTATTCACCATGACTTAATGAGTTTGACTTGCTTCTCACTGCAGAAATTAGGTGTAATTTGAAAAGGTTCCTTCACCATGACTTAAAGCCATCCTATTCTACCACAAAAAGAGACTGTAGCAGCAAGCCTTTTTCTTTTTTTAGGTTACTTTTCCTTTCCTTTAACAATCCTTCCTGAAGTGGAATGTATCTTTTCTTTCCATTTGCATGTTATTTGCACTCCTCTCAGCTCTTCCAACTTAGCTGCTTCTTTCTACATCTTTTTAGTCTATTGCAAGCTATTCTATTTCCAAACTTAGGAGAAAAAACATATTTTTACCTGTTCTTTATAATATTTCAGCTTCTTTCTAATATAATTTGACTTTATAATTGGGGGGGGTGTTAGAATCTGTACAAAAAAATGTGCTAAATTATTTATGATATATCTAAGCAATCACATTCTGTTGCATTTTATAGAAGTGATTACTTCACTAGTAAATCATTCTTGCTTTATATCAGATGCTTTGAATCAGATTTGTCATAACTGTAAAAAAAGTCATTGCTTTCTCCATCTAGATTGTCATCGCAAACAAACAAGCTGAAGCTATAGAAAGCGTAGATGGCTTTGGCTTGATTTTGCTTTCATTTATTCCATTAAAATCAATGGAGTTGTACCAATGTAAGCCTGATGTAGGAAAGAATCAATTTCTGTTTACCTATAAAAATCTACATTATAGATATGTATAGATAGTTGTGTAAAAAATATAGATATGATGATAATTTTCAAATACCAAAGAAAGTATAGAAAGAGATACATTTTATACACCAACAGGTTCAATTGCATGCAAATAACATGCATATTATTCATCCCCGTGAAATGCAGTCTGGTTTATTTCAGAAAAAAAATATGATACTGGTCTAATAAACTCTATGCAAAGTCATGCATTAATCTTAAATTATCAAGATAAAATCTACAGCCTCTTACAAAAATACCTAACATATATCTGAAAGGAAAACAAGAATGTTATTTAAACTCATTAATATAATTTGGTGAATAGTCCCCTTGTTAATACAACCTCTTTTTTCTTTCTTTTTTACTGCTTAATAGAGAAGAAAATCACGTTATTCGGACCTTGACTTTGAAGTAAGTTTTACCGAATTATTCCTGACTATTAAAGGTATTTCCCTAAAAGTAAACATGAAGTCTTCAGCATAGTAGATGTTGTAGGGTTGTCCAATTGGTACTGTACAAAACATGATGAACAATTCATTAAAACTACTTTGGTGCAACTTGTTTGTAAAATAGTCTGAATTCAAACTGTCATATTGCAATATTAACCATCATGGTTTCAGTTCTTAAATTTTCTGCCTCTTCATTTTCACCTGGGTTTTTTTTCGTTGTTGTTGGTTTTGGTTTTGTTTTGGTTTGGTTTTTGCTGGCTATCTATCTATTGAAGTGTGATACTTCTGTAGGACAGGCCATGTTGCAGAAGGTGGCTTTGTTCAAGAGATTCCCAATTATTTGTTCTATCTCTCTTTCCTCAATACTTATTTACTGGCATATGACGTCCAAATCCAAATAGTGATTATGAATGTGTCAAATTTTGAATGATGAAGTGCTGCAGCTGTCTAAGTTTATGGATCACATGCTATATAAAAAAATCAAGCTCATGCAAGTTTCTTTAGGTTGGACTTCCACAATTTCAGACACAAGTCCTGCTGAGTGAGAAAGTTTTATCATGTTAGTTAATGACCATTTTGTTCTATCTCAGAAAGTATGATTAAGTGTCTTAGAGTTCTGTTTATTTGAGGTTTTTCTTCTACACTCTCTACTAGAAGAATACAGGAGTTAGTTTTCAAGGGGATGTTAATTATTTATTTGGGGGTTTTTCACAGGTTGTCTGTTCATACATATTAATAGTTTGATATAATTCATTATGGGTGTCTCCAGAGAAGCTGATCGTAATTGCATGGAACCTACATATCTCAGCCTAAACTTTAATATCAAGTGATCAGTAGATATCAACCATAACTTTAAAAATTACCCTGTCTGTTTGCATGCACAAACAAAGGCACATTTTATCATTATTATTTGGGCTGTAAGCACAACAAATGTAATTTCAGATTTCACATTCTAGTCCATAGAAGAGAAAGAGGCAGAACTAGCAAAATGCAGTCATAGCAGTGATAATAGAAGCCTTGCAACAAGAGAAGGATTTGCTTTGGTGACCTGCTTTTGCTGACCAATGCTGAAATGATGACCTTCCATGTCTGATTTGGCTTCTTGGTAGTTTAACATCACGTTTGAAACTCTTATGTAATTTTCCCTGAGAGACTATAGCTACTTTAAGCTAACATGTAACATTTCAAATAATGCACAGAAAGTTTAAGGAAAATAAAATTAAAAGTTTACCCTAAATATGCTTTAGGATAAATGATTAGAAAGGAAGAATAAAAACATTAATCAACAGCAAAAATCTGAGGAGCAAGCAATTCTAAAATCAAACCAAGCAATGTGAACGGAAGTTTCATAATTATAGTGATATAAAGAATTCTGAATTTTACTGTTCTTACAGATACTAAAACAATCTTCCTATCACTCAGGAGAGCATAAACCAACATGAAATAAACACTAACAATGCGGTACACATTCTGCTCTTTCTTGCCTTACTTGCACCATTGTTGCTCCATGGCCTAATATTTTTAGAAGTATGATTATAATGCAGGAAAATACATTTGTTTGTAAAAAGGGAAAGATGGGTTCATTGGGAGTGACTGCTGAGGAACTGAGAGTGGCAATGATATTATGCCAGTTGCTGCTGTGTTTTAGAAGTACTGACTTGGACTAAACCTATCTCACCTCCCTGTTTTATGGTTCCTCTGATTAAGCCTGTGGGCTTTCCTGTGTTCTTACACATAGCATAACTGGCTGGCTGAGGTAAAGCAAAATAAAAAAGCTACAAAATGTTCAAATAGCCACATCCTGAGGAAGGAAACTGAGATAGTGTTGTGTGGCCAAAATGCTGTTATACCGATACCTCAAAGTAGCTTGACTGCAAAATAGAATGGAACCTGGAGGTAAGGTCGAGCTAGAGTGATCAGCCGTACTACTTAAATGTTTAACACTTTCTTTGCTTTGTCTCTGATCAGTGCCAGCTGGCACTCTCCAAGATAATGTCCTTCCACAGTTCTGAGGACAGCATATGCTGTGGATGTGGTTCTGAGGATAATGAATGCTAAGTATACAGTACGGAAAAGACTGTGTCAAGCTTGGCTCCCTCCATCCTTTTTCCTTTTAACACTCAGCAGTCTCTACACCCTCAACCTCTCACACATGTCTTTCTACATCCATACGAGACAAACCCTCAGGCTACACAAGTCTTACTAAATTAGACATTTGGAGGAATATTCCTGGCTGCCAAAATTCCAGGTTGTATATGGATGAAATTTTAGAATGATCTTCACTATTTTATTCTGGACCATCCCTGTCTCTCCAAGCAGTTCCTGTACTGTCCTTAGGGAACCAGTGCAACCTAAGTACTGTTCAAACTAGGCAATTTGATTGCAAGCTTCTTATTATGAAGACTAAGAGAATTTAGTGGCATTCACAAAGAACATTCCATCATAGATGGAGCCAGAGAATAGTCGTAGACACGTTTGACTTACTACTGTAGAGTCACAGTTTCACAGTTTTTAAAAAAAAAAAAAAGTCAATACTGTGCTAGTGGGCTGTAGTACAACACTGAACTTCATATAGACAATTGGAAGTAAAAACTAAGAAACCCAAAAAAGCCATTTTTTTCTGAGGGCCATAGATGAAATTCAAAGCTAGCTGCTATGTAGCATGAACACAGGCAGACTATGACTGTACTCAAAACCATAAAATACTCTTTCTCTGTTATCTCAAATATATGTAGAAATACAGATGCAGGTTTAAGGCCCTTTACAATGGACTATAAATAATAGAAGTTATGTAACTGTGCTGGGTAGTATTACAGAAAACTTATGTCTCCAGTCAAAGCAAAGGGAGAGAGAAAAAGATGACATCCAAACTGGTCAGCCCTTGTCATAGATCTGAAGCTGGTTAAAGAGGAAGCATCAAAAACTGGGCCACCTGTATCTTGTTTTCTCTTTTTAAATAGTTTACCATTCCATTCTTAAATTATTATTTATGTTGGGGGGAAAAAAAGAAGACAGACTGTGCCATGCTGGGTTTAGTCTGTAGGCAGACAGTATTTCTGCTACATAATACACTGCTAGATTTTGAAAAACACTGACTAATATAGTTGAACTTCAAAGTTTGCTAAAGTGAACAGTCAACATGCAACTGCTTTACAGCTTTTTTGCTATTATCAAAGTTAGTTTACGCTTATACATGCAGTCCAGTATCCAAAACTTGATCAGTTTTGGACCAGGCTGGGTGTTTTGAATCCTTGTTTCTTATGGTTGTGGTAACCCCAGCAAAGTGCCCTCCAGCCCCAGCCATTATTTTCTGTTTTTTCCTAAAACTGGAGAGGTAGTCTTAGCACTAATACTTAACAGTCAAATTAAATAAAATTCATTCTAATTATGTTGAAAAGAAATACAGATGCTGTGGAAAATCCCAGGAGGGTTTTATAATAGGTGTGCACTGACACTTAAAAAAAATATAGGAGAGTTGAACAATAATATTGACATGTATTTTGAGGACTCAAGATCATAATTACCATTAAATTCTACAAGATGGTCTGAATCCTGGATTTCCCCCACCATCCCCTTTCTATGAGGCATTCATAGGATCTATTCTGGTAATAGCATTAATGCCAAATAATATAGAAAAGTGCCTTATTGCTCTACTCCCCAAGATTCAGGTAATCTATGGCTCCTTTTGTGCTCCACCCATGAGGGAGAGCAAGGATACACAGGACAAGTGTGAATACCAGAACGTCTTATTTTGTTTCCACATAGCAGTACACTCTCACCAGCAATAACGCTAAATTGATCATTAATTGCTGGAGCTGCGTTCTTTTAGAATTTCATCTGCAATAGCTATTTATTGTAACAACATTACAAGCTCACACAACTGTTCTAAAATCATTCTCTTCCAAACCTGAAGACATCTCTTGAAGATAAAGGTAAAAAAAAATATGCCTTCAGGGAATAATCCTTTCCTGTTCCTAAATTTGGCAGCTGATCATACCTATAACATCTTGAAAACACAGCAGGTTTCCATTGTAGAGCTGGGAAGGCATTCCCCTATCTGTTCTTTTGTCTTAGCTGTTTCATACAGTATTTGAGAAAGAGCATTTTTACCTGTGACAATACGTAAAATTTCCAGGTCAAGTTGAAGAAGAATTATTATTGTTATTCGTAAGATTGACCACAAATGTCCATGACAGTATTTGTGCTTGAGCTAGAGTTCAGCTAAAACCCTGTCATAAATAAAAAAAAAGGGAGCTGGGTACAGAGTCATGTTTTAAATCCTTCCCATCTCAATGATAGCCATCCACACACTGAATCCTCTTCTGAGAGTGGATGCTCATCACTAAGGCTTAGTCTTTTCAAAACACATATTTTATGTTACTTGTGAGTGGGAGTAGAAACTTGGAAGGAGTGTCAATTCGGTCTGACCCCCTTACAGGTGTGGGGCACAAGAGTTATAGAGCCTGGAGGAAAGACCACAAGAAGATGTGTGTCTGTAATCTAACACATTTTGCTAACTCAGGTGCTTCTGTAGGGGATGCGTCATTAATGGGAAAATCCCCAGGTGCACATAAAGGAGGTGTGCTTTCAAAGGACATCACTAGATGCATCTTTACATTCTGTTCGGGTTCAGATGCTACCACAATCATCCTAGTATATATTGGTCTAGATCTCTACCTCTGTATTGATAAAACTTAGGTATTTCTAATATTAGTAAAGCTGCGTTTTCCACGTAATCCATGTAAGAGGGAAAACAGATTAAACCTCTATGAATACTTTGTGAGTTTTCTCATAATGGAGAAAGAGTTACACAACAGAGCATATTTTCTAGAAAGGAGGTAAGATGGTGCTTTCTAACAAAGAATTTAAAAGAAATCTAGAAGAGTTAAAGGAAATCTAAGCTACTGCACCTTCAGTTCAGATCGTTCTTTATAAGCAGTGGGGAGAGGTGGGTGTCAGTGGGTAGGAATTACGGAATGAAAGCCAGGAAAACACGAAGAAACCAAGAGATCCATAGGTACATGTGCATACGAGTCATTCTGCTATTAAGAATAAAATTTAAAGCCTTTTTCTAGCAGACTTCCCACTGCAAGTGTTTAATTTTTCCTCCCACCTGCTTCTCCTCAGGAATAATGTAACGAACTGAGTAAGACATTTGCATTATTCATATTTGCTATTTAACAAATTCTTGGGTACACGATTCAGAAAAATATCAGAAAGCAACATTCTCTATATTCCTAGCCTTCTATTAGAAAGTTTCCAACTGGAGACACTTGTTTCACTGTCATAGGCTATTTCCTGCCTTTAAAACCAGTACTTAACCAACCAAATCCATTTTATTCCCGTGAGTGTGTCTCCTTATTTCAGCCAATAATAATCGCCGAGGCAGAACCTTTCTTTTTTAAATTCTGTGTATGTGAAATTTGCTACATATCCCTGTAAACCATAACATAAATAGCTTAAAAGAATCCCTAGGAAGTCACTTAAGTGAAACTCCCCTTATAAATTTAGATCAGCTATCTCTAGTTAAATTACATTTTGCAAAGAGTTCCTCACCAAATCCTGCAAAATTGTTTCCGTTATTCACCCCACAAGTCTTGTTAATAGGTCTTTAATTGCTGCTGCATTTCATGTCTCTTTTGTGAATAATGTTGCCAATTTCCTGTTCTTAGAAGTGAAACAAGTTCTCAAGTTATGGTGTAGCTATATTAAGGATAATATGGTTATTAAAGCATAGCTGTAGAAATGCATGGCCAAGAAAGCAGCCACATTTCATGAAATTTATAAACACAGAATGCAAATAAAAGATAAAAATTAAAATTGGTATTGGTAAAGCATTATTTGAGGGTCAGCTACTGCCATTCCATATTAAAAGGTAGCAACCCAGACTTGGCAGGAGCGTTACTTGCTGGGTAGGGTCACACTCAGGCACTGCATAAGTTTGCAGGGTTTGTTATGTACAACACCAGGGAAAAACCATGCTTGACAATTAGTGGACATGCGTAGAGGCTGGTGTTCTTCATCTTTTCTATCAACACTATTGGCTGCTGCCCTGGCTGTAACTTAAGTTCAAGCAGTTACAAAAGCTTAAGAAGAGCCAAGCTGAGCCCATCTGCTGTTGGACTGAGGTGCCGTATCCTCAGTCCTTCCTGTCCCCTGTCCACCCAGACCACAGAACCATGAGATTGCTTGAACAGTAAGCAGCCTTCAGCTTTGCTCCAGAGGCTGGTCTGAATCCATAGCTGAGCATGAACTTGTTTGGAAACAACTTACATGGCATGCTTGACAGTCATAGGCTTGAAAACTGGCTTCATTCTCCATGTAGCACACAGATACATGGCTGAGGGCTCCTCCAACTGTGAGCCCTGCCAGGGGTCCCCACCTCTTGCATATGGGTACCATATAATTAGCTTTTATGGAAAAGTGCCCTGTATATGGGCTAGAGGGAGGGTGGTTTCCAATCGCCCAGACCATGACAAAGAAATCGAGTAAAACTGAAAAACTGTGCCATTCCAACTGCATTTTATGATGATCTGAATGACAGAAGATGTCATAAAAAGACGTAACATTTTGGGCTTTTCCATTTTGGACCAAGATATCCACGTTCAGTGCTCTCATTAAACTTATTCCAATAGAGACCATTACTAACTTCTGTTGTATTCTTATGGAAATTAAAAAATAGCATCGATGCTGAAAACAGAAATTCTAGAAAATATTCCTAATGTGCAAGAGAAATATCCATCTGAGAAATTGCCATCACTTTCAAAATATGTCTAGGCTAGCACAAACCCAGCGTCCCTTAGTTTCAACAATCCAATAAATGTGGGGTAAAAACAGTCTCTTGTGTACAGGAAGAACATTAAACAGAGCAGAGAGAAGGCTTGGTGCAATTCACTTCCATTACTTGAGTCTACTGGGAAAAGATGGCCCTGCCAAATTCAATTTACTTTATTATGCTGAGGAAAATAATGCTTCCCTTAAAAAAAGCCCAGATTCAATTATAAATATAAGCAATTATGTTTCGTTTTGCAGAAGGTCATGCATACAAGAAAGAGGCACATGGAATTGTTTCAAGAGTTAAATCAGAAATTTCAGACTCTGGACAGATTTCGGGATGTACCAAAATCAGGCAGTATGGTAAGTTTTCCTTCTTAGATATTTAAAATATGATGTAGCCTTGACAACAAGAGTCCTGTGAATCCAGTGTATTTCCCGAAAAGACCTCACTCTGTGCTACCTTTATATAGCCTCACAAAGTAGAGCAAAGGATATTTTTGGTAATCTAATTAATGACAATACTCATTAAGTTTTACAACTAGACCACAACTAGCTGACTGACATCGTTGTAGATGACAAGTAATTGAACTGTAGTGAACACATTCCATATCTGTATGTGCCTACCAAGTCTACAGGCCTTTGTATAGAGAAAGCAGCTCACTAATGTAATTTTGCCAATAGGGCTTTTCCTCTAGCTAGACAAGCAGATATTAAATTAGCTACTATAAACAAGTCCAGCTAGATTCACCTATGCATGAGATGGTCCAGAGAGCACGCAGGGTCTCTGCAATGCTGCATCTTTTCCATAATAGGTTTATAAATATTTACCATGGGAAAAGCAAAAATTAAATTCATCCTGAGTTGACTCTGCTATCATCACAACTCAAATTTATACACACACACTCATACACACATGCATAACACCCTGACTACATCTGGTAATGAGAGCAAGGAAATAGTTGATTCTGCCTAATTAAAACTGCTAATTTAGTGTGACTTATTTGTTAGCAGTAATATTATGATTAGTAATAAATTTATATATAATTTTATAATGTGAAAATTGTATATTGAATGGAACTGAGCTAGAATCATTGTATTCTATAACTTTTTCAGAAGAGCTGCTCTCAGACATGAAGAAGAGGTATTAAGCAGATGTGAGGCCAATGGATATACATCATTTACATCATCTTAATCCAGCAGAAATTTGGCCCTGATTCTTTGATGAACATTTAGCTGTGATATGTGTTATTTTGCACCCAGTTCTCGCTCACTCCCCCTACTGACATCTGAAGTCTGTATTTGCCTCCCTATTTGAGATTTGCCATCCACGTAAAGCGTGAATTAATTCAAAATCTCAAAGGGAATCTCAGTGGAAGAGTTGTGTTTACTCTGTCTCACATCAGCGCTATGTTTTTGAAAGGTCTGCTAATAAAAGCTGTCTAGGGGAATGGTCTATCTCTAAGAGTCAGAGAGTGATCCAGGTACCTAAATATAGGCATCGTAGACTATTTTAGATGGCCTCAAGTGTCTTAATCTACATTATGATAAGGGAGTGATGACACAGGAAACCTGCGCCTCTCATGAAAGATTAAGATCCAGCAGAAAATTCAAAGACATCTAAAATAGAGCAAAAATTATAGGTTTTGGCAACTAAGTCCCACCCAACATTTTACAGTAGAAATCACTAATCAAATTAGTCTTAGTCCATGATGTCTTTTATCCTATAAAACTTAGCATTCAAAAAAAAAAATTTGTTCAGTAGAAAATAAACAGCTTTCGTCCTGTTAACCTGCCCCAATTTAAAATCCAGCTGGCAATCTCCATTTCAAACCACTCCATATTTCAGGCAGCAAGCTCTTCTCAATTACCTTTCCTTTCTTCCACTTTTCTAGACAGCCACTGTTAAAAAGATGGCTATTGGTACTGGATCACTCTGCCATTCCTCACATACATTGGCTCTGTGAAAGAAAGGGCTTAGCTGGCAGCTCAGGTGAGGAGCCTGCCAAAGTGTTGATTGTTCACAGGGACAGTCACAAGGGTGCTGAACACTTTCCAGCCTGGCTCCCTGCAAATGCATTTCCCCTTTCTGGCTTCTGTGTCTCATGAGACCACGTTAACAATCAGGCTTGTAAGTGGAAAATGCCTTAGCTCATCCGCGGTTTTAATTCTTCTTTCTTTGGTCTTCAGGAGAACTCAGCACCAAGCAAGGCTCCATGGGAGAGTTTCAAAACCACAGGCGACTACCAACACTATACAACGATAAATGTGTTAGACACAGAGGCAAAAGACGCTTTAGAACTCAGACCAGCAGAATGGGAGAAGTGTCTGAACTTGCCTTTAGATGTGCAAGAAGGTGACTTTCAAACAGAAGTTTAACAAAAACAAACTGAACAAAAAAAAATAATTCATTGCACTGACAATAAAGAGACTTTGGGAAGCCTGACACTCCTGTCTGAACATTGTGACTACTTTATGTCAGGCTCTTCCTGTGCCAAATGTCAGTGGTTTTTTTCATACAGTATATTCCCACTAGTGCAGCTAGTGGAGAACCAGGTGTACAATTCTTACCATCGTGTGTTGTAAGTACCCGTGGAATGGATTTGTAAGGTAATCTTTATAGATAAACCTCAAGCAACGATTCATGTTGTAACAGCTTCATTTGGTTTAGTTTTCAAAAAACTTCACCATGAAGCACAATGTATATATTTATGCAGTTTTTAAAGTTTATAACAGTCTGTTTGGCCATTACTACACTTTTTACTTTATAATATAAAAGCAAAGGTTTTGTCATTAAATGAATGTCTGTTGAGCTACATTCTTCATTGCTTTAAATGCAATAAAGTAATAATCTCACTTTTATATGAATAATATATTTCACATCTTTATTATTGCAGTTTTCTCTGGAAAGCTCAGAGTAGCTTTCTCTGCTGCAGCTGTGTATAAAATATTTAAAATGTTGTATGGTGTAAATAAACCTTTGTCTACATATCAGTTTCTTCGTGCATTTTATTCTGTATTTGTTTATCTTAAATTTGCATATTTATGAAGTTTTTTAAAAAACACACATATTGAATACATATTTGGAGTTTTAATAGTATGTTATTCTAGCTCCTGCAAGGAGTTTCAAAAGTGTGTGAGTAGGTTTATATAGCCTCATTTTCTTACACATTCTTTTGTGACAATGTACCATACAAATTGGACTTGTCAGAATACTGTTACAACTGTTCTGTTTTACAAGAATTATTGTCTTGTTGCAGAAAGACAAATAATGGAAAATAAGTTCCAATGCACAGCACCCAAAGAAAATGTTGATTGAGAATCATTACATCTTTTGCATGTCCTTGTTTCTGTATAACAAAAAGATTTTAAAGATAAAGAATTCTGAATTATTTTAGACAAAAAAAAAGTGTGTTTCATATTATAAATCAAGATCAGAGCATAATTTATGTTGAAAATGCAGTTTAACAATTAGGAATAGAAAGAGTAAATCCTCCTATCCATGCTTAGAACAAGATGCAGATCTTCAAAACATCCGCTCATCTACAGCATAGCTTGGGGGGGGCAGGAATGAAATGTCATCTCAAATCTTCAGATGTCATATTTCTAAGATAAAGTTTTCAAAACTTTTCGTTTCTGCTGTAGAGAATTGAGTATGCTGCAGACTACTAGCTGGTAAGGTCTTAGAAAGGAAGAAAACATGACTGCCAGTCTGCTTAGGAACAAAAAGGACTAGAATAGAGACCTCTCACTGAGGTCTTAAACCAGAACATTAGTAGGATATCATCTGTTCAGAGAAAGTTCTTAGGATCAACCTTTGGACCAACCTTCAGGAATGTGTTTCTCTCTGTAAACCCTTTCTCCAGGCCAAAATAAGGTAAAACCACAAAAAGAAGCCTGACTTTGCCTGCTTTGAGTGAGCATCTCGTGCAGAGTGCGTATTTCTCTAATCTAATGCTTCAGTATCTAAATCTTTACAGAAATACAAAATATATAGCTAACAACTTGATATCAAGTCTGTTAACTAGCTTAAGTGCCTAAGAAGTTAGACGATGTAGTACTTTATACTGCAGTACATCAATCATTCAGAACTAGCCCTTATGTCTGATGTGGAAGGAGACTGGCTATGCAACCTACTAACACCACACCTCTGAAATCAAATAGTGGACCAAAAACCTCACTCCTGCTTTACATCAAGTTCTAATCTAAAAGGGACTTATTTCCCCTTTAGATAACAATACAACAGAAATTGCACATTTTTAAAAGATTTCATTCAATATAGCAGGCATCTCTCAAGCAGAACACGTTTTACAAAATTTCTAATTCTTGAGACTAAGGAAGCTTAGGCCCCTGTATCCAGATATAAGCTTTAGCATCCTCCTTGGCTGATCTAAACGTATTATAAATCCATAGTACCTTGGTATTTCAGTAACCATAGGGCAGAGATTATTTGCATAAGCTTTATATCACCACTGGCTTTATATCAGCTGTTATATAAGCTTTGTATCAGTTCACTGGTGGTCTAGTTACAACTGCAGAAAGCTCAGCTTAGGCTGCAAACTTACCCAGGAAGCGTGATAGATTAGTCTATATTCAATTCAATACACTGCTGGCCCAGTGCTGTTATTAATAACCCAGTTGATTCAGGTTTAGCATTAGCCTGGGTGTTTATGTGCCACACAGCAATCACAGATGTGTTTTCAGTGTATGAGCAGCAATGTTCAGTGCTTCTTTATTTAGAGCTTGTACTGCCCTGCCCAGAAAGTTCCAGTCTATTTTTCTATATGTTTCATATTTAGAAATATTAAAATAGACTGAAAAACAGTGGTTTTGCCTCCTGATTTTACTGCTTCATATTAAAGCAGAGTTTGATTTCCGCAAGCCAAAGGCCGCATGTACTTAGAGTTTGCTGCTCAATGTCTCTGAAATGGTGCAAGTCAGACTGAATCCAGCCGGAGAGTATGAAATTATATGCTCTGGCTTAAATGTTGGTAGAGCACTGAGGAGATGTTTAGCATTACATTATATGCAAATAAAAGTTGAGTCACAGCTGCCTACATTATACTAGACGCAGACATGACAAGGGACCCTCCATTTGCCTGCCAGGGCTGGCTGGTGCCATTTGATGTGCCCTGTGCTACTTTACCTGCCCTCCAGCTGTAGTTACAGAATGATTCAGGTGTTTGAGGGTGATTCAGGTGTTTTAGGGCTCAGCTAATCAGTGCTGCTGCATGTGGTGCTAAGGTGTATTGAGGCAGTTTGGCTCAGCCTAGAGTTTACCTTGAACCAACTTAAAATAACAAACTTAAAATACATATTGCCTAGATGCATATAGAAAAAAACAAATACTTTTTTAAGAAAGGCCTCATTTTCTCAACATTGGTAACTGTATAAATCCATATGCAGTTCCTCTCTTTTCTTCTTACATACATATACAGGGAAAGATTTTTTTCTGGCAACTCAATGCTAAACACAGTGTGGCCTGGACTTTTCAATGTAGGGAAGCAGTACATACAGGAAATCTAGCTGAGCAGCCATAGATCACTTATACAGCAGTTCAGGATATCCATGATTTCACATCCATGGCTGCATAAAAAGGTTTGGTGCTGCAGGCATAAAAGCACTACAAAGTTATTTGCCCTTCCCCGAGTGATGTTATTTTAGCCCAGAATCTTCTATGGAGGTAAACTATGAATTAGTCATTATTGAACTTCAGCTCATATTCTGCAGTATCTCTTCAAAAGAAGAAGGAAAGATAGACTAAGTGCTGCTACAAGGGATGAGAGGTAGAATAGCAGTGCTGCCTTGCTGATTCACCTTCGGAGTGTCATGGGCTTAATGCCAATGACTCCTTATGATGAAGACTTATAGCAAAGTTGTAATAAAAAACACAAACAGATAAGGGTCATTTCCATTTCATTCACTACTGGGTCTGAATCTCTTCATAATAGGTAAATCAGTGCTTTTCTCTGGGCAATGTTGTCCTGACACTCCTGTGAGAACAGTGAGAATGTTATTTGCCTCTCTGGTGATAAGACATAATCACCCAATACTGTTTTACATAGGATTAAACTGGGGTAGTTTCTTTTCAAAACAAACAAAAACCAAATGAAACAAAAAAACCTCCAAGCCCCAAGGTGCACTAGGTGAAATGTTCTCTGATGCTTTGATTTGCCTCCATTTCCCATAGTTGCTAGGCAATGCTGTACTTAGAGACAAGATTTAACAAATGGTCTGCTTCCCACTTGGAAGCAGGCATCCATCTGTCACAGCATCAGCAGTGTGCTTTCCATTGGATTATGCAAAAGGATATGGAAAACTCTGTGTTAGCAATCAGCAGATGGAGACATTGTGTATTGATACTAGATCTTCAGTTCCTCAGGCATTAGCTCAAAGCTGTGCTGTATCTCTGGATAAGCCACAAGCAGCAGTTTCCATGAGCAACTTTATTTCCCTCTCTCAAAAAGTGCTATATGGCTCTCTTGTACAATCAAGCCTGTTCCCATATGTTGAGGGAAGTAAAAAGAGAGCTACCCAGTTGAATATGCGTTTGGGGAGCTGTGATTCGTTTTGAGCCAGGTCTCAACCAGTGCAATGCTGTAACCTTTTCTACTTACTTTCTAGAAAAATCTTTCTTTGCAAGGAAAGCAAAAGAGGCCTCACTAAGAAAATATCTGTTTCTGATAAGATAGGCATGACTACTAACCCTAGTTCCCACTGGTATGTTCTGTTTATCAGTTACAATTGTAAGGTAAAGAAAGAGCCATTTATCTGATTTTGACAAAATTTTCTCTTAAGCTGCATTGGACAATCATGTGGCAATGAAATACTCAAAACAGCTGCACTACAGTACTGCTCCTCGTTTTTGTTCTGAACTAGTTTAATACCTCACTATTTTGTATGAGGAACAGTTAATAACTATTAGCATTTCTTGGTAATATAAACAGAATATATATATGTAAGAAATATATATTGAATATAAATAGAATAATATAAATAGAACTTCCTTTATGGACCTTACAGTTGTAGGCCCCACAGTTACCTCTTTTTGAGGATTACAAACCCACACTCACTTAGTACTCACACGGAAGTCCTTCCCTGATTTTTACCATCCTTATGTCCTTCACAGGTCTTCCAGGTCTGCTCAAGTTCTTAAATAATCTTCAGTAAATCCTGAACTCTTAGAGTATGCTATTTGATCCCTGCAGAAAAAGAAAAAATTCAACCAGGAAGCTTCTAAAATTCCTTTTTACTTAGTAGAAAAAAAAAAAAAAGAAAGAAAGAAAACTTAAAAAATACTTTAACTTTTTTATCTAATGCTCTAATGGAAAATACAGTACCATCTCATTGAGGAAGAAATGAGCACTAAGCAACTTCTCTTAAGTAATCATAATTTCCTGCTTCTGTTTCTTAAGTAGCACTGCTGCAGCAAGATGGGTAGAGAGTTATCTACAGCCATTGGCTGGGTTTTAGAGTCAGAAAGTGAGCAAGGGCTATATGAATCCTTTCAGATGGAATAGTAGTTGTTTGTGGTTGTTCACATCCTGAAAGTGTGCTGAATTATGAGGCTTTTTTTTTCTTTCCAGCTTTTGTAACCCCTCTGCTTCTAGCTCTGTGTTCAGAGTGACATCCACTCACTTCCTGACTCTCTTTAAATAAGTTTTAAGTGAATAAGCATTTTAGCTAGAGAAGGGCTTGAAAGCTGCTGCTCATGACTGTTCATCCCTGTGACTAAGATTTAAACACCTGTACCTCAAGAGACGTGGGATGTAAGAAACAGTTCTTGTTGATTAGCTTGGGCAGCTATTGGGAAGCCCAGCTGGAGATGTCTACTTGTTTGTGTGCATTGTATGTGGATAATACACCTCATTCAACATATAGCCAAGCTTAGGAAACAGGCACCTAAACCTACATGATGCAATGCTGACAATCAAAAAAATAATCTTTGTCCTTTTGTGGATCAAATATTTAGGAATTGAAATACTTTTT